CCTCCATTGCGTTGGAATTATGCGGCATTGTCTAAAAATGAGTTTTCGTTGCTTGTTGCTATTTTTACGTTTCATCGAACAAAAGCAAAGTACCTTGCCGTAATAACAAAAACAGGACGAAGAACAGTAAGGACACGAACACGAACAAAGAGCTGAAAGCTGGCAAACATAAAGCATTAAGCAAGCTTCGCCTGCAAAGGATTTCGAAAAGGAGCAAGGAGCAGGACGGGGTAGATAGGCGGACAGACAAGCCACAAAACACTCAGCGAAGGTAGCAGCCCAACGAACCATCACTGCGTCACTGCATCCTGAGCCCTCCCATCCTTCGCAGGACATCAGTGCATCCCCATCCTCATCCTTTCACATTGCAGTACGTAGTTGCAGGGCGCACAATACGCACGCATTCGTGACGTGTAATGCTCAGCAGCTGACAGGCGACAAAACAGGTCGAAATTTATGAGTTAATGCTATCAACAACTTGTTCATAGTCCTAATAAGCCCCTATAAAATAAATATTATCTGGCTTTATTTAAAAACTACTTCAACACTTATATTAACTGCTATGTACAAAAATATACATACTCAATAAACAAAAAGGAATTAATACTAAGAAAGAATTATAATTAAGAAATATTATTAAGTGTTATGTACATAAGTAATTGAAAAGAAAACCACGAATACTAAGTAACTATCAAAAAAGGTCTCTAAGAAAATCATTAAGCCGACTTAATACGTTTTTTAATTTTACTTCGAATATTGTTTTGGAAATTGGGAATAAATTAAAAATCATAAATATAATAGAAGACATGATGACCAGCTATTCACTGACCTGAATTTGTAGTCCACCAAGAGTATAAACTTTTTAAAACTACACTTCTAATAATGCTCATATTTTCCAATTTTTCAAAATAATGTCAGATTTGGCATTAAATTTATTTCAAGGTCTCTGAAAAACTAAAATTAAATTGATTACTTGACGATTTTAAATAGCAATCATATTCATTTGTCATAGTAATATCAATAGCTTTTAGTGCATCAACGTCCATCAGAATTTCAACATATTGAATAATAAATAGATATATTTTGATGATATACAATTTTCATCATATACAATTCAGAAACTTGAAGTAAAAAATGAGAACTAGTCAATAAAGTTGCAACTTAATGGAATAAAATTTGCTTCTTATTCAATTTTTGTCGCCTGGTGAAAGTTTTTTGCGTTCGCCAAAGAAATGCAGCCGCCTTTGTAGTTATGTGCATGATGAAGAAGCGAGCTTTCTCCCTGCACTCTCCTCTCTTCTCTCTTCTCTACCCCTCTTTTTCCAACCCCCCAATGGCATTCCAACCCCTCAGAAATGCGGGCTGCTGGCAGTCGTCGCATTAAGTGAAGCACGCGGCATGTTGGATCAAAATGAAGTGCTGACAACGCAATGCCGGCAATGTCCTGGAGGAAAGGTGGGGTGTGGGTGAGGTGTGGTGTGGGTGGGGTGAGGTGTGCCAGGTAAGCGTCTTAGCGCAGACCGCAGCCCTAAACAAAGGGATGCGATGGGAATGAGGTGGCAATGTGGCAGGTCCTGCTGCTCGATGGCTGCCACTTCAATGGCTCTCCGTATCCGTCTCCATATCCCTTTACACCACCTCAAAATCCCCATCTGGCACCTACTCTTCGGCTCCAGCGGGCTGTTTAATTTACGCGCTGCTATTATTTTAATCTTTTGCGCTACACACAGCGTGAAATGACTTTCACCTGGCCTCAAGCTCCGGCTTCAAAGCTATAGAACCTATAGCTCCAGCTTCGCATTCATGTTGGGGTTGGCCAGCGCCCAGAGGCGCCTTGGTCCAAAGTATTTAGCACCATAAACATGCACAGCCTCGGTCGAAATAATAGCATCATTAAGTCTGGCCATTAATTTAATTTATGGGCATGCACTGCATCCCTAATTAATAATTGATCATCTTGATTTAGTATGTCATGAATAGTGGTTTAATAATAATCGACTCCAATGTATATCAGCTTAATTGGGTATTTCTGAAACGTTCGTAAGGTGTTTAGTTTTCGATAATAAATATCTTATTTACAAGTTGTTAGCATTAATTGTACTTTTGAAAAGTTATTACATTCATAGAATTCATTGCTTAAGATATTGGAAAGGAATTGGATTTTAATCTTTTAAAAAAAGGATTAAATTTATTTAATGCTATTAAATGTGCTCAAAGAATATGCTTTCGTTTGATTAGTTTCGAGTCTTAAAATGGTTTTATATTAACACATTCAATTTGTTATCAATTACACTAGCTTAATTAAATCGACCAAATGCTTACCTAAACGTTTCTCTAGACGACATACTAGTAAAGATTGGTGTGTTAATGCCTGACCAAATCTGAAAAAGTTTCTTAAAATCAGGAGCCCCATTTTACATTTTTAAAAATACTGTGTCCCTTATTCTTGTAATTCCTAAAGGAATATTACAAGTGAAACGGTAAAAGAGGAATTTAAAGAGAATTAGCAATAGAATAACTAGAGATTTCGCCTGCACTGTGTCCATACTTTAGCCTCCTGCACCCGAGTCTTTTTGTCCAGGTGAAAGAGGAGGCGCTCAGGCCAAACGACAACTGGGGGCGTGGCACAGGAGCTGCCGGAAGCTGCTGTCAGCTGGGTTGGCCTCAAAGTGCTGCAGGATGTGTTGTCGCTACCCCATCCTCGGCATTTACCATTGCTTTTTATTGTTTTATGTGGCTGTCTTTTGACGAAGGAGAGGGGTGGAAGGGGGCCTGCTTGCCACTTCAAGGTGCAAAATCTACGACGTGCGTCGTTCCGTACATCATCGCATGCTTTGTGCTCTCAGCACAGAAATCTTTTACAATCAACATGAGGGAGGAGCAAAGCAATTTTGTAGCCAAAAAAAAATAAGAGAAAATAGACAGCTGAACGGAAGCGAAACCAGAAATGGCGGGCAGAAAAGCGGAGTAAAAGCAGGGCGAACATAATGCCTCAAATCATTTTCATTTCTTGCATGCGCTTGTCTGCAAGATGAGGTCCTGGCTCCTTGTAGAAAGCTTGTCTGCAAGATGAGGTCCTGGCTCCTTGTAGAATGCTTCATTTACGCGCTTTTCCCCTCCGGCTTTCACGGCTGTTTGTGGGCGTTTTTACTGCTTCCCGGCACTCAAAGCGCTTAAGCTTGTAGTGGAGCTATCCCCTCGCCTCGTTCTCTTCCTGCACCCTCGCAACATTACAATATTTTAAAAGATTTACTGACCATGTATTTTCAGCTCAGCCAGCAAAGTGCAAAAAGCTGTAAAATATTGCGTATACGCCAAAGTGCCACCTGAGAAGCGCAGCACAAAGTCAAATCTAACAAAGCATAGCTAAGCGTTTGCCGGGGACTTAAATGGGGGGAAACCAAAAAGAGTTGAAATTAAAGTTTTACTACTCCGGAATTCATGGGCGTCTCTGGGGCTAGCAATTCCAGTTGAAGTAGGTAATTTTCAGTTACGGTTATGCCAACCAATACGAGGAGTAAAAGCTGAAAGACTAACAGTTCCATCATCACCTGGTTATATTACTAAACTATAGTTCGGATGTGAATAAGTAAATTAAAGAGAGCCAAGAACATTTGTTTATGGTTTTCACTACGGCCAAAAATCTAAATAAAATATGTAATATGTTAGTGACAGATTTGTGCCTTATAAATAGAGAAAGTAAAAAATTAAATGCCTTAACATTGTAAACAAATAATTATTTTTTAAGATAGATAGCTTTTAATAGCTAAATGTAAATAAAATATAACAGTTGAGCTTATCAATCTTTTTCTTGTTCCTTTTTCTATTTAACTCATATAAATCCAGGTTGTTTGAGAATTTATAAATTAAGTTAGAACCATGGTTCTCAAGTAAGTGCCCTATATAGAATTCTACCATTACTATTAATTTCCAAGTCCTAATTTATTCTTCCAATTAGGGAAACATATTTTTTTTAGTTTTTGCTAGCCCAAAACTACGATTTCCCCAGTTGGAGCAGCAGCCAAAGCTGCTTAAGAGCAAAAATAAATAGAATTTTTAAGTAAATTGGGGCTGGCAACTTACTCGCCGGCAAGAACTAAGAACCAGGAACACTGCCAACACTTTTGTTCCAAACTTGGCCGACAGACATAACTCACTGAAGCAGCAGGAGATGGAGATGGAGATGGCGAGTTGCATCTCCTCGGGAGCCACCGCACCACCAGCCGCGCAACAAATAGTGCACATTACAAGGGCCCAAAGCTACTTTGCCAGCGCCAAAGGAGCTGCCACGTACCGACTCACATATATTATTATCTGCACCGCCAGAAGGGTGGGGAAATGTGGGAAGAGTTTCCACAGGACCAGGACCAGGACCTTGTGTGCAACAAGGCGTACAACTTAAGCGGCGAAGACAAATTTTTATTGCCACAAGCCCAAGTCGATTTCGATTATTGAGTGCAGGCCAAACTGTTGCACAAGGAGCAGCCGCGGCACACAAGACAGGGGGATTCCCCTTCATATCCTTTCCGGCTGCCAACTTGTGTCTGTGTCTGTGGCTGCTGTCGCCGTCGCTCATTTGAGTCACATTTTATTATTTTCGTGCATTTATCGTATGCTCGGTGGCATTTTATTTTATTAGCGTGACATTTCAATTGATAGACCCTCGGGTCCGTGCTTAACCGACTCAATTTGATTTTGCAATCGAAATGTGCGACTGGGAGTTGCGATATTTGAGTGTTTTGAATGGCGATGTTAAAATCGGGATTTAACATGTCTGAATGCGATGATCACATACAAATATATTGCCAATATCTACCAAAATAAATAAACTTATAACAAGTCTATTTAAACTTATATACGAACGTAAAGCCACTTCTAAAAACACTTTAAGATGGTCACACTAGTATTCCAATTAAGTGGCTTTCAACACTCTTTCAAAACCCAAGTGGCAACGCTTTGAATGTCATAATTAATTGTCAAAGTTCGAGCTCATATTTCACAATTTGCTTTAACGCTTATACTCTGCACGAGACAATATACTATTCAAAGAGTTTTTTAGTAAAATAAAACGTGAAAAATAACATAAAAACTATCTCTTATAGAAATAAATAAATACAAAGCCATGGTGTACACCGGTTTCGAAAGCAGCGGCTTGCAGAATGCCGAAGAAACTGGTGAGCAATGACGAAGCTTATTTCCGGAAAATTCTTTAGTTCTGAATTTTCTGCAATCAGAATGGGTGCAATATGGGGAACCCATCGACTGGGAGCACGGCCTGGTTGCTTACGACGAAGGCGATCTGCTCAAGGGCGATGAGCAGGAGCTGCAGCCCTCGATGAACCGGGTGCTGAGCCTCATCGACTACGAACTGGCCATGAAGCATCCACTGGAGCGCACGTGGACTTTGTGGCACTGGGAGAACGATCGCACCAAGAGCTGGACGGAAATGCTCAGCGATGTGACCAGCTTCAACACGGTTGAGGACTTCTTCAGGTCGGCCATCTATAAGTCTTCCAATCCCTTTACATTTTACTAATATATTTTGACAGTGTGTACTACTTTATCAAGCCGCCATCGAATCTGAAGATTTACAACGACTATATGGTCTTCAAGGAAGCAGTCCGGTAAGTTGGGCTATCCAGGTTATATAGGCACTATCTTTATATATATTCTTCTTCAGTCCCATGTGGGAGGATGATGTCAATAAGGAGGGTGGTCGTTGGATAATGCTGTTGGACAAGGCGTCCAAGACCTTTATAGATAAAATGTGGCACGATTTGGTAAGACAGTTAACTTATAGCATCAAAGTAAGCGAAATTTATTATATTTATGTTCATTTAGCTATTGTGCATGATCGGCGAATGTTTTCTATATTCAGACGAGGTATGTGGAGTGGTCATCAACGTGCGCAATAAGGCCAATAAGTTATGTGGGTATTACACGTCCTTTTTATTGGGCATTTCTACAAGGCCTCTTTGTTTACAGCCCTTTGGACAAGGGATTCGCGCAATGTCCAGGCCATCCTGTCCATCGGCAGGCAGATGAAGGAGCTGCTGAATCTGGGCGAGATGGAAATACAGTACCAAGTGCACAAGGATGCCATGGTGCAGCACGGACCCAATGTCAATGCTGTGTACAAGATGTAGGCGCCAAACGGAAAGGCCATCTAAAATGCCCAGTTCTTGGCTAGAAACGCGCATCTACGATGCGCAAAATATTTTAGCCTATGCTAATATATATGTCAAACTTACATTTTATCCACGCACCGACGCTTTTTGAGATGGAAAGCGGTTGTAGCATGAATAAAGCATTACATAGAGAAACAGAAACTAGATTGCCACGTTTCGCGTAGTGTCCTCAGGCGAGCAGAGTCGCCTCACGTATTTCCCGGCGGAGCGGGAACCACTCGCTTTACTACGATTATCCTTGGCGTCATAATTTTGGTCGTCTCTTACCATCCTTTTACGGCTTCCATGTCGCGGCCAGTGCTTATATGTGTGAGTCGTCCTTTCCCGGATTCAGGGCTTTTGTTTGCGCTGCTGCTGCGCATAGCAAATTGTGACCAATTTATGGAAATATGCTAGGGACGCATCCCCTCCATTTGTAGGCAAGTGGTGCTCCTTTAGCCAGTTTTGCTGGATTTTTAGAATTTTTGATAATGGAATAAATAGAAAACAACACGTAGTTAATAAAGTATAACACACTGTGTAGAAAATTAACAAGCCTTTATTTTACTTATTAAAAATTAACGACAATGGTTTAGTGCTATGTAACCAAGAAAAAAAGGCAATGAAAATTTGCCTAAAGAGACAAGATGCAAACAAGATGTAAATACAAATGTAAGCCTTTCATTATATTAAAATACAATTACAACATTTCTTGCGACTAAAATTCAATTGTTTTCTTGCTAAAAAGGAAGACTTTTAAATGTAGTTCAAAATTTAGATATACAAGCCCTCCTAAAACACATAGCTATTTTGTTAAAAAGAACAACTTACTGACTTGGAGGTTGGGGCTGTCATCACTGGTGCACATGCGACTCGTATGATTTGATTGCTGTAATTTGTAAGGATTTTGCTTTTATTGTTTTATTGAATTATGAAGTGGCAGCCACCAAATGACTGAAACGTGATACACTGTACACCGGGTTATGACAGTGCCAATGGAAGCGTATCCCTGACATCCTGTCCACCCTTCGGGATATGGCACCCCATCCTCTCCTGCTTATATCGAGCAGGATTCCTTGGCGCAAATGAATGCATGCAGTTATTCGGTCCGTAACGTGAATTGATATGCCAACACGTACGCGTATTTCGAAGAGGAACTGGATATGGGGAAAGGTAACAACCTGGGATGTGGCAAATAGTTTACCTCGAGTTTAGCACTTAAAGCGCAGTTTAATAACCGCCATAAAAGGTTTTCTTTTCGCAGGAAAAACAAAAGCCAGCAGAGAGTGCCATTTTCCTTTGACGGCGGGAAAAGCAAATTGGGGATAACTGGACAAACACAACAGAGAATATCTGGCAAACGGCAAAGAGCAGACAACTAATGTTGTAGTTCTTTCCTTTATATTAAATGAAATGCAAGCTTAATTGAAAAACGCTGACTTAGCTGCACAGAACACTATTTTAATTATTTTTGTTAAAGTTAAATTAAATTGAAATTCAAAATACAAATTAATTGCAAATATAAATAAATAAATCTAAATAAAAATGGTATTATAAAAAATCGGAAAATCTTTGAGTATTTTATACAACATTTTTAATTTTAAATGCAATAAAAATGGATTGCGTTCCAATAAAAATTGGTTTCGAGTAGAAATACGAGTAAGTGAATTTTTGAATTTTTTTTTGATATGCTTATAGCAATTCGAAATAAAAATTTCTTTCCGTGTTTTTGTTTCAAGTTCCTGCTTTGCTATCCTCCTGTTGCTGCCTTAAGGACTATGTTGTAGCCTGTTGCAATTTTAATTAAACAAAAAGCGTAAAATGTTTGACCATTTTCACCGGGTCCTGCTGTTCATCCCCATCTCCGAATTCGAATCCGTATCCTGCTCCCAATTGTCTTTGGCACGTAAATTTTCTTTGCCAACAAGCACGAAATTGTTTGCCCCTCCTCTGGTGTCCTGTGTCCTGGAGTCTGGCGTCCTGGTCTCCCTTTTTCGCTGCAAAACAAATTAATTGTCTGTTTTTCACATAAACTTTTGTCGGTCTCCGGTTCCCGCTTTGCACCCAGATTCAGCTCCATCTTCCCCAGCTTGAGGTCCTGCGGTTGTCCTTGTCGCGTCTGTCCAATTTTCAGCGCTCTGTTTGTTGCGTAAATTGCGGCTGTTCTGTTGGTAATGGCCACTCCCCCTATTTCCCCCACCGACCCACTCGAATTTCTCTTGGCCGTCGCTTAGCTCATTTGCTGCACATCACTTTTGGCGGGTGGTTCCGTTGCCATTTTTGTCATAATTTAAATGTAATTTCCCAGACACCCACACACACACACTAGCCTTCCTCCCTCCTGTCATTCATAATTATTTTTTGATTAAAGATGCCAGAAGACATCGCCAACTTGACGGTCGGGGCTCTCCTTTTGTGCACTACTTTGTGGGGGAAAATTATGGAGCTCAACAAAAAAGGAAAATGTTGATAAAAGCTCTTGAATTTAAATTTCAATTTAATTCAAGTTTGGAAATGTGTATTTTTCCAACAAAATTAAGTGATTGATGCGGGGCAACTTCTCAAACGAAACTCCTCCCTTTTCAATATATTTTTATGATACTCAGGCTTATCTAGCTAAAATTTCTTCATTATTTTCCCTTTTTTGCCAAGCCAGCAAATGATTTTCTCATCCAGCAGCATGCTTCACTTTCAGTTTATTTATTGGCATTTAATACACAAAAACTTTAAGTGCAAACGAAGAGCTGGGAATGCAATTAAAATAACGAAAAGTGGAAAATGCAATAAACACTTCGATTGCCAATCGCAATGAAGTACAGGCGGCGAATTAACTAGATTAACTGAGCGATGGATGCGGCAGATCTGTTTGCCAGTTCATCGGGCATATGACAAATTCACAGCTCCCAAATGCAATTAAAGGCATTTGATTTGGAGCAGATTAAATCGAAACAATTCTGGAGAAGGACGAGCAAAGTGTGTTTTTTGCTGCCAGTTGTAGGCGATTTGCATTTTAAAATAATGACTACATAAAAAACTAGTTAAAAGTTGACAACAATGAAATGTCAAAAGCGTTGGAAAACTTTATGCCCCCATCCCCCCTTTCGAGTCTCGGGTAAACTTTTTTGTGTCTTTCTGTTTAATGCGACTCCGCCCCGTAGACCCACCTATTTTCCGAAACCCATCCTTTTTGCCAGCTCTGCGAAAGCCTTTTACCCCTTTTGTTTTGCCCGAACAATAACAGCAAATTTTTCTAAAATTTCATGTTGCCCTCTCTCTACTACATCCGCCCAACGCCCAACGACCTACGCCCACCGCCTCCCCCGACTGCCACGCCCCCGGGCTAAGCCCAGCCCAAGCTATTTGCAATTTAACTTTTTCCCCCTCATAAACAAAGGGGGAGTTTGGGGGGCAAGTCAAAACAGGGACACGTAGCCCAACTCGGCTTTAGTTTTTAGTTGGCTTTTATTAACTTTTGTCTCTGTCTGTGTTTTCCTGTGTATTGCCTGGCTGCGAGTGTGTGTGTGTTTTGTATCTGTGTAAGCTCTCCTCCGACATTTCCCCTTTTTTTTGGCATTAAAGTTGCACAATTACCGAGATTTGACACTAAGACGATGGCGGAGAGCCGGGGGATTCCCACAAACTGCTCGACCAATTTAGAGTAGTGCTCAAATTTCAAAAAATCAACAAGGGAAGCCATTCCTTGGGGTGGTTTGCCACCTATTCAGAACTGGTAATTCCCCCCCTCGCCCATCGTTCTGGTCAATTTAACTTTGGAGGATTGGGTCCTTAAGAGCTGTTCCTCTTTCTCTTCAAAAGCGGATCGGTGTTCCGGACCTCGACGAGCGAATGGTAGAAGCAGTCCGGCGGCGGTGAGATGTGGATGTACCAGAAGAAGGCGTGCACCAAGTCACTGGTGATCGCGTTCCGGATCACGGCATCGGCCAGCAAGGCGTATACGCCCCTGGCACGCAGCTGCTGCTTCCGGATGGCCATCAACCGACTGGTCCGGGCGGCCTTGTCGCCCCTGGTGTTGCTGACCACCGCGTGGTTGAAGTTGCAGAACACCTGATGGTAGAGGATCTGGATTGGGGAGAGAAATATCAAGGGTATTAGAAGATACTATTCAAGCCGGTAAATTTTCAAATTGCTTCTAAGGATCCAATGTCTTTTTCGAACACAGTTTCGTCCAAACTATGTTAAACGCAGAAAATACGTATCCGCTTACCGCAATGGTCAATTCGGCGATGGTCATGCTCCGGAAGTCCTTGCGGCGCTCCTCGGTGACCATGGCGAAGGCGAACTTTATGGAGGCGGGCAGGGCGAAGCAGGAGCACTGCTGGGCGCTCAGCAGGCGGTACAGCATTATCAGGCAGTTCAGGACCATCAGGCAAGCGCCCGGCTGCGAGTCCTGCCACTTGGGCACCAGCACGGCCCACTCCGCCGGATGGGGATCACCATTCTGGGCCACCATGCGGTAGGCAATCCACCGCTTACCGATGGGAGCCTCGAAATACGGAGGCAGAACCATCTCCGCTCCAAGAAATTCCAGGGCCAGGACGAAGTCGAAGCGGATGAGGCGCTGCCCGTTGCAGCCGCGCTCCGTGGCCACCACTTGGTGGACGAAGGGCACCTGGTTCAGGTTTAGCACCGAGTACTTGAGGTCGTAGACCAGTCCCGAGCAGGAGGAGCCCACACACTTGATCTTGGACACGGCTTTTTGCAGCTCCTGCTTTAGCAGCAGGTTCATGCTCTTGGCATTCACCGCATTCCCAAAGAAGAACGGATGCTGGGCATTGGCCCGGGAAAGTTCCACACTGCGTCTCCCCTCGTGGTAACTGGGAGTCACGGGCATCGGCAGTCGGATGGGCAGAAAGATCTCGAAGTTCAGTGGCATGTCCAGTCTCAAGTTGTCCACATAGGCGGCTACTCGTTGGAGGAACATGGATGAGATGCTGCCGCAAGGGAGCCGCTTGAAAATCACTGCTCACCTGTTCTGTGAAGCTGACCGAGGAGTCCTTTAAAAACCGCATTGTCCTCGAGCAACTGCTCCTGGATCGCAAGGGACAGCATACGCGAATCGTGGATGAAGCGATGGTGCTGCTCCTTGCTCACCGTGAACTGCATGGCCAGGTCCTCCATGAAGTCCAGAAAGTTGCACACCGCCATGATATCAAAATTTTCGATACTCCGTCAAAAAATTATTAAAATATTTTTCGAATATATATAGATCTCTACAACTAGCGCGATGTTTGGTATAAAAATAATTTGTACTAAAATATTATGTATCTAAAATAAAAAAGCAAGTTTTTTCGGAAATGTTTAAACACAGAACTGAACCCCTTTTCTTTTAACACTGACTTTTGAATGACAAGAAACTCAATGCTACTTTGATTCAATTATTTCTCTAGCCCATATATCGATTTGAATTAGTGTTGCAAAATAAGTATAACCTTAACTTATTTTGCAGCTAACTATTTACTTTACAAAACTCATTAGTGTTTATTACTTTCACTTTTTCTAATCCTTGTTAAATTTAACACACAGTGGTAGATATTTAACTTAAAATTAAAAATGACAATGTACATTAAATGTATTTTAATTAAAAATAATCTCAAACTGTCAGTGCTATTAAATATTTAAATATCAATAGCTGATAACCTATTATAGTAATAATTATTAGATTAAATTAAATATATAAATAAATATAAATATTAATATAATATCAATGTTGACCATTTTAAAAGCAAAATTAAACAATTTAAATTAATCTGTGCTGGTAACAATTAATTAAATAACTATCTAATAATTGCTAGCATACAGTGATCAAATAAATCATGACGTGAGAGTGGCGAGAGCTTCGCTGTGAATGGAGCCGAATGGAATCCAATTTACTACGACTTTACTACGCTCCTGTTGATGCTGACTCGGATTGGGATTCTGCGCAGTACCTCCAGCATCCACTGCCAGGTGGGGATTGGAATGCGGGGGTGCACATGGCGATGTGGCCACTATGGCAACCTGCATCTGCACAAAAATCCTGCGGGACAGCGCAATCAGGACTCAGTTGCTGTTCGACGTTGCTCGCGTGCGGTTGTTGTCTGCTCCTTTTCCTTTGGCAAGCGAGTAAGTGCTGGAGCAAGCGAGATAGGGCGAGGTGCGAGGGAGAGACAGAGAGACCTGTTATCAGAAAAGCAACAAAAACACAAAAAAGAACACCGAAGAGCGCGCCGTCGCAGTTGTTGTCGCCAGTTGTTGTCGTTGTCGTTGTCAGTGTCGCAAGTGCAACTCGCAACTCGCAACTCGCAATTCGCGTTGCAACAGCAACAAGAGAAGCGGCAAACGTGCGTGCCATATATTTATATACATACATGCCCCCTATATACAGTGCCGGCCAAAAGTGTGTCCGTGTTTGTGAGTGCAACGTGAGCCGGCCGCCAAGACAACGAAAAATCTGCCAAGTATGCAACCGTAAAAATCGCGCTTGATAATGTTGTGTCTAATGAAAGGTGTTAGCCCATCCGAATTTTCCCCATCTCCTCACTAACCGCCTTGCATGCGCGCAAATTGAAAATAAATTGAATTGCAGCAACGTGCTAAAATTTGAGAGAAACAACAACTGCAACAACCTTGTTTTTAGCTCTATTTTTTCGTGTTTGTTGCCTTTGCCTCGAGAAGTGGAAAAGTGCCTTCCCTCATGTGAGAAAATTGCATGCAAATTTGCTTAGCTGTTGATGTCTTGACGGGCAGATAAGTGTGTTGCATCAAGAAATTGAATGGGTTTATTTTGGGGGGTTTAATTCGGCAAGGAGATTGCTGAATCGGCGGTGATTGTGATTACGTACCAATATAATTTACAAAGGAAGTGGTACTGGTAGTGTTAAAAGTATTTTTTTGTCTTTCCCTAATAAGTTTTCAGAATATTATTGGCATTTTGAGTCATTTTATTGGTTATTAAATGATTGAATTTTTGTTAAATTTAACTTAGTTTTTTGATGTTGTCCAAGTTACAAAGGAAAATTTGTTGATGTTTAACAATTGGTTTATTTATAAATATATTTTGTAAGTGGTGAGATAGAAGCTGGTTTGCCGTATGATTGTAATAATAATATAATTATCACGGAAATATAATATTTCAATTGAAAAATACGAGATGCAATGCACATTTGCTTCTATATTCCTTTTTGAAAAACTCACAGTTACTGTATATCAAATTCGTTATAATTTTAGGAATAATTATTTGTAAGCATTACCAATACCTATGGTTTTAAAGATTGAACACACTACAATTTACTTTGTAGGAAACCGGTTTATTTGATGATTTTATGTTATTAAAATGGTGAATTTGCAATTGGTTTGAAAGCAATATTAAATATAATAAATTGAAAAATATAAAATGCAATATTCATTTACTTAAAGATATATGCTAAGTTCGTAGATACTGTTCATCAAATTCATTTTAATTTAAGGGACAATTATTTTTGGTTAACATTAACAATATCTATTTGCTTTAAAGATATATAATATGTGTTGATGACATATGTTGACTTTGCAAGAAAGTGAAACGCATTCTTGAACAGTTCCTTAAATATTTGCACTGTATGAATACCGCAATAAGTGTTCCATATGGCCGTAGTCCTTTTCTGAGTTTGCCAGGTCCCCCACCTCGGCTCATCAATAAGGCATAATGCAATCCTGTTTCCTGACTACCTGGACTGCCTTGAGAGGCCAACTTCCGTGGCTCTGCTCCTTGCTCCTCATTCCTTGCTCCCTAGTTCCATTCAACCCCCTTTTGACAAGCTGAAGACACGTTTAGCAACGCTTTCACGTAGCAGTCGTCCCCTTTTCTGGTCTTCTGGCCTTCTGGTTCGCTGCTACTGGCACTCTCGAGCTTTCTGCTAATTGCCGCTTAATTGTTTGACATTTTCCCCGTATTGTGTTGAGGGCAAATGGCATTTATTTATATTTCTTTTGTGCCGGGGCATCTTGCTCTCGTTTCGTTTCGTTACGTTTCGCATGCAAGCAATTAGCAGTCCTGCGTGCGCTCTTCTATAGTGCCTATATACTCCTCCGTCTTTGTGTATGTGACTATGTGTGGCCGGTACCTCCTACATATGTAAAGCCAAGACCGGCCGGCTAATGCAGTGAGAGAAACGGGGTGGGGGGTGGCCGGCCTATTGATTTTATGAACGAAAACTGCAGGATGCCTCGTGAGCGGGAGAGAAGCTGCAACTATTTTGGCCGCTGCCGCCATGACAAACTATAAATCTGTCTGTGCCGGCATATACTCGTGCGGATACTCACTCGCTTCACTATATGTGTACATATATATACATATCTAGATATATATCTGGCATATCTGGCTTATAGTGCAGAGGGTATTGTTGTTGTTCGTGCAACTGCCGCTGTGCTGCACACACAAAATTTATCGATTGCCGCATACACACATGTCGCATGTTGCAGCCTCTGTTGCTGATGTGTAGTAGTAAAAATGGCTCGTATTTCATGCGTTTCACAGCGGAAGTGACCAGCACACACACACACACACTCGTGCGTAGTAGTTGTAGTAATAGTAGTTGCCGGCATCCAGTTTTGGTTTATTTAAATTTTCGGTCACTCTCTCTTCGTCTCTCCCTTTCGCTCTCTCTCTCTCTCTCTCATTCCATCGGATATTATGTATTTTTGGGTGGTCAGGCAAGCAACTGCAACAGCTGCCCGCAGTGCGTATACGCAATTTTTGAATTGCCCCACGCTGCGAATGCGCAATCTGGCGCCTAAGCAGCAAAATATGAACCCATCGGGCAAATAACGGCCTGCCACTGCTACTGACATTAATTAGAAGGCGGCACAAGTTTCACTTTTACACCCACCCACACTGATCCATCATTTTCCACAAAAGTCACGTACGACTTTTTTCCGGGGCCAACTCAAGGAAATTTTCCTTCCTGCATTCCACTTTAACCCAGAAACAAAAATGGGGGACTTGAGAGTAAAGGGGTTTTCTGAGCTGTGCTAGGTTAAAGTTTTTCTGTGTAACAAATTAAGAAATCACTTTCCCCCCGCGCCGCATACATATGCAGCGGAAATTGAGACGAGATTGTCGAGGGGCAAAAAGAAAAATGCCAAAGTTGCCAAAAGTTGAGAAATGATATTTTGTTTGGCTTCATATTTTATTCATACTTAAGCGACGGCTCAGTGCCTCTGTGTTTATTTATGCAGGCAAACATGCTTTTGATTGGCGTGTGACATTTTAAGCGCGGGTCTGGCATTTCAAAATTATTCCTGCGGGTCGACTGCTCATGATTGATGTGCAGCAAAACGTGGGGTGAAAAAGTCTTATCCTGAGTTTCACTGAGACACGCGAAGTCGAGTGTCTGGAAAGGTCGAAGTTGATTTGATTGGCAGCTAGAAGAGGAAGCCCTCCAGTCTGCGGGATAAAAATAATTAAAAATGGCAAAAGTATTCCACTTGTGCTATTTGCTGCTTTTCCAAAAATATTTCTGCATAACTTACTACTCACATTTGCATTTCCCTGGGCCGCCTCATGATTATTTTGGCTTCCAAAATATTTTCCTCGAGGTACTCATGCACTGTTTTTTTCCCGTTTTCCGTTTGGTTCATATTTTACTTAACCCAATATTCGGCTCGTTAGCCAAGAGGAAACAAAAGACCATAGTAACGGGCCCAGGAAAAATCACTGAGCAACCAGCAACTACGGCAAAAACAAAAACAAGAGCTGCCAGTAACCGAAACGTGTTGGCATCAGCTGCTATGTGGAAAAAGTTTATGACTTTAGACCCATTTTGTGTACATCCCCTCTGCTGAACTCAATTTTTCCCCCTGAATCACGGCAGCGTGGACTTACCTTGGGCCCAGCTGGAAAAGCTGGGGAAAGCGGGGAAGGCGAGGAAAGCTGGGAAAGCTGGGGAAGCGCCTTCTGCCCTCCGTCTGTCCGTCTGCTTGGCTGCTGTTTTTAAATGATTTTTATGTGCACTTCAGTGCAAGAGGGCCCCCCCTTTTCGCCCCCCGTGCTTTCTATGTTGTATATATGCATATAATTTCTTGCACAATTTTGTTGCTGGCTTTTCATTTCACAGTTTGTTATGCATTTCTGGCTCGACTCTCTCTCTCCCAGTAACGCTGGTTTTTCGCTGGGCTTGTTTGTTTGTTGCTTCATGCCTTTGCTTTATTGATTTTCCTCCTTTTTTTTTAGTTTCGCTTCTATTTCCACTCCTCTGGTTTTTTGTGTGTCTGCTGCTGTTTCTTTATTTGTTTGTTTGTTTGCGCCCAGCCGGTCGGCCAGTGTTACAATGCAACAGACGACAGCCGGTT